ACACACACACACACACACACACACACACACACACACACACGCACACACAAAAGTAATGAATGAAGCAACAGTTGGATAAGGGAAACAACAACAAATAATCAGTAATAAAGTTTGTAACAGGATTTAAATTTCTTAGTTTCGTAATCGTTTCGGGGTTGTTTTTTTTCAATTTCAATGTACGTACACTAATTTGTTACAAATAAGTTGCCTGTTTGAATATTATGGTCGTCTGTCTGTTAATTGATTAATCAGCTCATCACCTTGGACGCCAGTCTTACCATTTTTCTGTCGTTTGCGGGCTTAATTTAACTTAGCTTGTTCCAATTGGGAGGCCGATAAAGTTTATTTGCACAAATACCCATTTTTTAACGTGCCAGCTGCCTCTAACACGCCTGTAGTGCCAATTGACAAGGGCTGAGTGGGATATAATATATATTTTATTTTATAGATTACACCTAAAGATCTGAATGAAGGGGATTCGATCCTTTTGTCTATATTTCTGGGTTTAAATGCGAACGCAATGTTTTTTAAAGTGCTTTTAAGAGCACAAATTAATTCGCTCCATCACTGATGTGAATTTATTTGCTATAAGAACGCATCGACTTTCTCACAAAAAATAAAATTTAAAAATCTTTTGATCAATTTAAGGTTCATTGCCGACTAATGTAGTGAGCACAATGCAAAAATTCTGGATTAAACTCGTTTCATTATTTTGTCTATCGCCATTTCTCGCATACATCCTCGTTCACCTAACTGCGAAGCCCAATAAAAAGAGCCTAAGGGAGTCAGCACGGGCATCATGCGTGGCCTGGTCTTAGAAAGCTTATAAATTTAAAGTTATGCTGTTCGATTCGACTGTTCAAGATTTCAAAGCCACCAATAAAAACTAACATGTCATGATAATAAAGAGACACGTGATAACAGTAACACATGTATATTATGGGAACATTGCGTGCAAAAGAAAGGAAGAAACTCGAAGACTTGCACAGGTCAACCAAATAATAGGCCTATTATTGAACTTGAAGATGTAGGGGGCGTGTATGTGAATAGTTCTAGAGCTAAAATCTTGACACTCTTTCGGGTAATTTCTAGTGGCAAAAAGATAGGAGTGAAGTGTTGTTTGTTATGGCCATGATTGTATTTTTTTCTTTAAACTGTATTACAATTAAGGTACAAAAATCACAAGCTTGTATGTTAGCGAAATGTAACGATCACGAATCCTATATTGTAAATTTTATACTGCTAAAACTGTAGCAAAAATAATGTTCACAACTAGGCCAAATGTGAAATGCCACGTGGCACGTTGATATGTCATTGAATTGGTTCGTTGGAGAGATATATATTGTGCATACTTGACTTTAATACGGCTTTTTGTGAAGGACGTTCTATACTATTTGTCTTGTATGCATAAGTTCTGTATGTTGACAAGAATACTATAGTTACAGAAATATTTGGCTCCAAAACTACGTTATATAACGATATAACTTCAAAATTATGGTTATTTGGCCTCACACCGGAGACATATCTGGCTACCCTGGTCAAAACAAACTGGGAAATGGGAAATGTGAAAGGACAAAATGGCGCGATGCTATGAACGGATTAGAGTTGTGAATGTAACTAAACGTTGGTTGCTCGGCATGTATAAAGTATAAGAGGAGGCTGCCCTTTCCTGTAACAAAGACCCATTATATATATGACGAGTCTACATAGATCTATTAAAGATTATATTATCGAATAGACCTTGCCCTTGCTCCATCAACATCATTCATTAGACTTAGACAGAGTGAGAGGAGAGTGAGGCATCATAGTCATAGACATAGATTCTAGATTTAGATCTGTTAAATTAACTTAGATCTAAATGTTAAAATGATGCCACTAAGACGACTAAGTTACTGAATTTGTCTGAAAAAAAAGCACTACGATATCTAGATCTAGATCTAGATCTAGAAAATCTGTACTAGATCTAGATCTAGATCTAGATCTACATCTACTAGTCTGTCATCTACATCTAGATCTAGAATCTAGATTAGATTCTTCATTCTAGATATTAGTATAAGATCTAGATCTAGAGATCTATTAATTGTCTTAATCAAGAAGTTTCACCGTGCAATTTTTCAGGCTGTACTAGACTCTAGATCTAGATATAGAGATCTAGATCTCTAGCCTAATACTAATAGTAATTCAACCTCTACTAGATCTATATCTAGATATCTAGATCTCTAGAAGGATCTATTTTATTAAATTAGATCTAGATCTAGATCTAGACTAATTATAAATATAAATCTAGATTCTAGATTTTCTAGATCTAGAGTAGTTAAATCTAGAAATTTTAAGTAGTCTACTATTAAATCCGCCTAAGTCTATTGTAGAATCTAGTGAGACAGTGCAGCAGTCCTCTCTGTGTGAACTGAAAGACAACTACTTAATAAAATAAAATAATAATACAAGGGCGCCTTGACAAGGCAAGTGTCTTAAATTTCAAGGAACAGGAAGGAGAAACATGAGTGATAGACGTTCTTCAAGGTAATCTGATCTATCTTCTAAGACTCTAAGAAAGTTCGGTCTCTAGAATCTATAGATCTTGGCATTGCCATAGAGATCAATCATTTTTATAATTTGTATAAGTATAAGTGTAGGAGGAGGGACTAGATATAGCTAGGCCTTTAATTTACTTTAAATTTAAATAGCCTAAATTGTTAAAAATGTTTTTGGTCTGGTATGATGGTAAACGTTAAGTTTCACTTTCACTCGGGCACCGCATAGCCATAATGTAGAGATGAAATTTGGGTGTTATTTTACTCATGCACTTGTGATGTTTCATGCTCAGATTTTCTAAAGCACTAGTTATTATATAAAATTTACCAAAATTTTGACTTTTGTATCCACCGCGAAATATAACTCTTTGAGTTTGAAGAGTTTGAGATGTAGGGCCACTATAGATGAATGTTTTTGAATGAACTAGGCTATATTACAAGGTCCAACTTCTTAGTTAATTAATATAATTTCCCTTTTTTTTTGCGAAGTGGCTAGCCGTACTTAAGTACTGCCAGTCTAGCCGTACTTAGATCTAGGTTTGGCCCAATCGACTCAAGCCTGTTAAATACACAGGTCTCATTAGATCTAGATCTAGATCTAGTGATTATTCAGGTTCAAATACATGCAAGTTAGTAAGGCACCTTCTGGTTTTGTCTGAAATACAAATACTTTTGGCATTGCAAACTAAAAATTTCATTTACAATTCAGCCATCAATATTAAGTACGGCTAGCCTGACAGTCTAGCCGTCCTTAAGTACGGCTAGCCTGGCTGTCTACCCGTACTTAAGTACGGCTAGACAAGAAGTCTAGCTGTACTTAAGTACGGCTAGACAAGAAGTCTAGCCGTACTTATCTTAGGCCCTATTAACATTAGAAAACAGGAGGTTTAAAATACATGCACTGTCATTAAGTCACCTGGTTTCGTCTCAAATACAAATACTTTAGGTCCTGCACAATAAAAATGTATATTTACAATTCAGTAGGCCTATTTTTTGTAAATGGTCAGTCTAGCCATCATATTAAGAATAAGTACGGCTAGACTGCGAGTCTAGACTGCCAGTCTAGCCGTCATTAAGTACGGCTAGCCTCTTCTTCCTTTTTTTTGTCTAAAAAAATTAGGGGGGGGGGGAGGGGGGGTTCAGGAAGGCATCCTCCTCCCTGACCTAAAAACAACTAAGGGGGGTTCAGGGGGTCATGCCCCCTGTATTTCATCATAATTTGATGTTTCGCTATTGGTTTGATATTTTCTTTCAAAGAGAATTGATTTGCTAGGGTTTTAGTGGCCATATGTTCTGCAGCAAAAACAGCAGTTTAGCCCTCAAGACAGTGCATCTCTGCTTGCGGTTCTTAAAGTAACAATTTACGTAACTTTGTTTTTAACGTTTATAGGGCTAAACCACTGTATTTTTCGCTGAGCCTCTCTATATATTTGTGAAAGTTCACACTTGGGCCACCTAAATCTTCCGAACCACTTAACTTTCGAATTTGACCAAATTAATGGTGGTTCAGAATCATGTAAAGGGTGCTCAGTTTCATTGAGGAGCCTGAAGTCACTGTTTGTAGTTTAATTTTCAGTTTTTCGTTAAAAGTTTCGTTTAGATCTAATCTTGGGAAAGTCTGTCTTCTAAGATGCCATTTTGTAAATGAGTGAGGTTTCCGTTCACTAGCCGTGCACTTATTATAAATAACCACACCTTTGAAATTATTTATGGAATGTACAACCACGAAAGCGGAATAGAGAATCAATCTATACCATTATTATATATTTGGCAACTTGGAAACACTTGTCACTTTTCTCTCAAGATTTATTGATCCATTCCTGTAGAGTGTAATATAGTAGGCCAATGACTTTCAATTGATGTTTTATGCTCCTATCTTTCTTTTCATCGAAAGGGGGCCCAGCTAGTGTCATATAGTTCAGGGCCACTGGCCACTTTAAAAAATCGCAGTGGCTATTTTTACGGCGAGCCGTAAAGATAGCCTCCCAGGCTTTTTTTACGGCGTGCCGTAAAGATAGCCTTCCAGTGTGTCCCAGGCTATTTTTACTGCGATCCTCGAAAAGCGACCCTACTCCGCCTCTCATGTACGCGACATGCCTCAATGTATTAGATCTAGGCCTATAGGGGCCGTTCAAAATATAAACTTACACCTCAGAGGGGAAAGGGTGTCTTTGGCTTCTGTAAGAAAAGTGTAAGATTGGGTGGGGAGGTGAGATGAACGTTTTGCTCATGACTGGGAAGAAAAGGTAAAGGAAAAAGTGGATAAATGCCAGTAACAAGACCCAGATCTGCATGATCACTGCAGATCCCCGTTGTTGTTGTTTGTTTTTGTTTTTTTGAGAGGGGGGGGGGGGGGGTTACAAATAATTTTGAAATTATGATGAAAATTCTGTAGGTGGATATATCTAATGTCTTAATGTTTCTTTGTAACTTTGCAACTGTTTTGTTGATCTTTTAGTGTCTTGATGTCTTTTATTTGTAAGGCACGTCGCCGCACGTACCTATTGCATTGACAAGAGTCTCAATGTCTTCTACATATGCGTTCTTTCTAGTTCATATGGTTTGATTAAATTGTATTAACTGAAATGTTCTTATTGCGGCGGTCACAAACTAATGACGTAGAACACGTTTTTCAGTCTTATAAATTCCGTCTTGGCTTGTAGGCCTTGTAGGCTACTGCCTTATTTGTTATTTTATACTACATTTTACTAAATGACTAAACTAATGTAACATACTTTGAGCTGGTTAAAACCGAGAGTAAGGCACTATAATTAAATGTCCTCTATTATTAGTATTATCATAATTATAGTCTTTATTCTGGACTTAAACAATTCAATGTTTTTATGTTCTTTACTAGGACCTTGTTGTTGTGGGATTCTTTCAAATAATAAAATAGATCGCATTGTTTAAGCTTTTGTGTTTTGTTTTCTAATGTGCTCATATTATTACTGTCCATTTTTACGGGGAACAGCTCACCCCAAGGGTGATTCTTTTTCCGATTCATATTTAGGAAAAAAAATTATACGGGCATAAGAAATAATGAAGAAAGTAAATTTTGATAAGTCGGAAAATATGAAAGTTGCCATGGAATGGAAACAGCACCAACATGCAAAACAAACAATAATTTTAAAAAATCGAAGGCTTCTCACTCTCTAACAAAATTGCATGAAAATTGGTGAAAAGGTAGATTCAGATACTATGGTCAATCGTACTGAGCAAAATTTTGATATTTGAATGTAAAAAAATATATGTGTTCCTGTACACTGAAATTGCATCACAATAATTAATAAATTAATCATTGTGAACACCCAAAAAAATTTTTTTTACACCTCTATAAAAAATCTGCTCAGTGTAAATTATAAGGAAGGAGGAACATTTTAAAGGCATTCCCAAGGCGAAAAGTGTTAACTCCAAAATGGCCGCTCTTCTTGTGGATGTGGTACATGTAGTGATGTCAGTGAATGAGATGATGATGCTGGTAGTGGCAGTGATGATGGTAATGATAGTGACGAGGAGGTGATGGTGGTGGTGATGATAAAGAGAGGGTGAATGATGATGGTGGGGAGAAGAAGGAAGAGGTGGTGGTGGAGGAAGGGAGAAGGAAGATGAAGAAGAGAATAGAATGACGGTGAAGAGGAGGAAATGGAAAACCTATGAGGCTGTTCAAATATAATCTTACACTTTTGGGGACTTTTTTAAAACACAAAACCCAATACCACTTTTCTCACATTTGCCTCCAACCCCCACCTACACCAATTTAATATTAGTACTTTTTCCGATCTTCAACTTTCATTATTATTTTAAAGATACCTGTACTATACGTGGCTTTTTTTAAACTAGCTTGTAAAAAAAAATCATTTCAGTTTATACAATTTAATCAAACCATATGGACTAAAAAGAAACGCATATATGTGGAAGACATTGAGACTCTTCTCAATGCAATAGGTACGTGCCTTACAAATAAAAGACATCAAGACATTAACAGATCAACAAAACAGTTTAAAAGTTACAAAGAAACATTAAGAAATTAGATGTCCACCTACAGAATTTTCATCATAATTTCAAAATTATTTGTAACCCCCCCCCCTTCCCCTAAAAAAAAATACAACAAAAAAACAAAACAAAAAACGGGATCTGCAGTGATCATGCAGATCTGGGTCTTGTTACTGGCATTTATCCACTTTTTCTTTTACCTTTTCTTCCCAGTCATGATCAAAACGTTCATCTCACAGAAGTGTCATATTTGGTTAACCTCCCCACCAAATCTTACACTTTTCTTACAGAAGCCAAAGACACCCTTTCCCCTCTGAGGTGTAAGTTTATATTTTGAACAACCCCTACAGGCCTAGATCTAATACATTGAGGCATGTCGTGTACATGAGAGGCGGGCGTAGGGTTGCTTTTCGAGGATCGCCGTAAAAATAGCCTGGGACTCACTGGGAGGCTATCTTTACGGCACTGCGTTAAAAAAAACTGTCTCGCAAATCAATTGTTTTCCAGAAAGTTCAAACTACATTGACATTATATTTGTATTCTTTTATTTTCACTATACTATCGTCTTACTCTCGTCTTATTCTCATTCTCAAGTTTTGTAAAGCCCCTTCTCTTGTTCATTTTTATCTGTTTTTACACACAAATATTGATTTCATATTCTTCGCAAATTAATTAATAGTAATTTTGAAACATTTGATGGTTTTTATCGCGCAAAAGCCTGACTGTGTGGTAATTTGAACTGCTCTCTGTACCAATTGGGGGATTTCAGGAGGGGGGGGGGGGGGTGGAATTCCACCCCGAATTAAAAAAAATTCAAGCAATGTGTCTGTGAAAAAATCAAGCTATGTGTCTGTGAAAAAGTAAAAGTAAAAATTTACCAATATATTCAAATTATTACAAAACACCAAATTGTACTTTCACTTCGCTGCCTGTAGATATAGGGGCTCTCATGATCTAGAGGTACGGTGTTCGCCTCTCATTCAGTGTCCTGGGACCTAACACTCCTACGTCTTCGTTTCACCTCCTTTTCTGCTCTCTAATCATGTTCCGTCATCAGCTTTCATCTCCGCTGTCTGCTCCTGCCTTTTTTTTTATGCTGCTCCTGGCTCTTTCTTACTATTGTCTTACAGCCACACCCCTGATTTTAGGGTAGGTAAAATCTAATCTAATAGGTTGCCTTCTCGGATAAATGCAAAAAAAATTTAAGAGGTCCTAAGGATCCCTTGGTGACACTAAAATTGAGAAGAGCAGGCTGGGCTTTGGTGTCCTCTGCACTCATATGACCTTCTGTTGTGAGTGCCTTTGGGGATGGGACGGGGTCGGGTTGGGATAATCGCCTGACTCATCGCCTGAAAACAAACACACATTTGTTTTTGAGGCGACGAGTCAGGCGCAATCAGCTTGTGAGCCACAATAGACGCTTTGCGCCCTCAATCTGGCTAGCAAACTGATTACCCAACCCGATCCCCCAATGGGTACCCCATATAACAAAACAAAAACAGTGGGCCTAGTGGGTATGGATGGATGGTACATCATGGAAATTTTATTCAATGGCCATCATGTCACAAAGTTTTAAAAACTTATATGTGAGGCATTGTATGGTGGAATTAAAGAAACAGGCATTTTTCCTCCCGTTAGGCAATTTTTATCAAATTTTTGTTTTTTGGCTCAACACCTTTATGTCCTAATAAAAACCCATTTCAATGTGAATTTTACTGAAAAACATTGATTAATGACTCAAAATAGGTAAATTTTAAGTATTTAAGGACTCTCTAGCTATACAAATTACCAAATGTTGGCGACCATTTTCTCGATAATTTTACCTCTGAAACCATGCTACCCTCACCTCCTTCAATGGCAAATATTTCGACTTCTATTCAAGTTAAAGGAGTGGTTTTTTTCATAGAAAGCAAGGCAAATGAATAAGCTTTCAAATCATACCAAAAATGTCTCCTCATGCCCAAAAATTGACGAGCGCCTGATTCCACCATGTCGTGACATATAATGTCTCTCCTGTACAAGTTATTTTGTTTGCTGACTGTTCTAAAAGTTGTTGGGTTTTTTTTATATATCCTTTGCTTTTCTGTTGTGTAATAATGTGTTTATGTTCTCTTTCTCTTTCAGGGTGAAGAAGACCATCAATTATTCTGGATGTGATGATCAGTCTGATGGTAAGAGACATTCTTGAGTGAAATTTTAAAATAAAAAATACATGTGGACTTTATATTTTCATTTTCATTCTGGGTTTTAATTTTATTTCTCCCAGTTTCTGGGGTTGTCAGATACTTACTTGAGACTAACCTATTATGCACCTATTGGAGGATCTTTTTTGGTAGAATAACGTTCATTATGTCTTTCAAGGAATTGAACTTGTGTAATGGTTTTTAAAAAAGAGTTGTTTTTTTTTAACTTCCATACATGTATTGTTTGTTTGTTTTTTTAAATTTCAGATGATTTTGCTGATACCACTCCACCTCCCCCAAAGAAAACAAAACTTTCCAGTGGTGATGGCAAACAGAAGACTGGAATGGTCAAGGTGAAGGAAAAAGAGCCTGCCTTGAACTTGGAGTCTACCCTTAGGTCAAAGAAGCAGAGGTATGCTTAATAAAACACAATGGTCGGGAGAGCATTTTATGTGATTCTCTTAGTCTTAGCTATCCTTCAGGAAAAAATCAGTAGGTAAACAAATGGTAAATTCCTTCTGGCTCTTAGAGACTTTAAGGGACAGAGTTTCTCCCAATGTGCACACAACATAAAGCACAGGTTGTTGGTGGGGACTTCTGTATATCTTGTGCTTCTGCTTCATTTCTGTATTTTTACCCAGAATTGAACCCCAAACTTTTAGTTTGCAAGTCTGGCAGCCTCTTTTATTGTGAGATCGTAAGATGTTTGGAAGAATATTGAAATTAAAATGGGCTGTGTATTGCATTGCTGTAAAGAGAAGTGAAATCATGCTTACGGTGCTTTGTGTTGGTACCAAAAGATACATGGCATTCCTTGTGAGATGCTTTGTATATGGTCTCTTTTAAGGACATGCGGGCTAACCCAGATTTCGGATGTTTCCAGAAATCTTGACCTACACTAAAAGTGGGCATTGCCCTACCTATAGGAGAAGTTTGGTTTCATGGATGTGTATATTTGTTTGGTTATAGAGAAAATACTTCTCATCGATAAGATACTTATCGTGGATCCAAAAACTTTACCTTTGATTTTCTCTAAACAGCATTTTTTGGGATAGCCCCCTTGTGCTTAATGCGACCATATATTTTTATATAGGCTTGATTTACACCTTTGATATCAATTGTTCATTATCATAGCAAAATTCTTTTGACAAATTTGAAATACTATGACTATTTATATTGCTTGCTTGTATTAGGTTGCATTGATATGAAGAAAAGATAGTTGTGCCATGAAGAGAATGAATTCCTACCTTTGGTTGCCCATGATCTTTCAGAAAGCCGTTATCAGACAAAGCTTTTGATCGGGAGTTGGAGGAGGCTCTCCAGCTATCTCTGGTGGAGACGGGTGGCAGTCAGAGTGACCATGAGGACCAGCAAGGTAAACTGTTGGGCTTGTTTGACTTGTCCACAGTCAGGTTACTCTGAGAGGGTGTTTTAGTGTGGCGAACAGAATGTTGGATTCACATGGGCGTTAGCTCAATGGTTCAAGTACTGTATCATGATAGCAGGCTATGATTACTAGTGCAAGCAAAAATTTTCCTCCATTTGTTGCCGTAGTTGCTGTACGAACCTGTGATTGTTTTCTCTCTTGTGGTTTCAGGGCTTTTTTTTTAGATTGAAAAAATTTATTCAAAAGGCTATTCCACAAATTTACACATACAACTGGATTGATACAAAACAAAGGGCAATGTACATGCGCGCAATTTTCTTGTCCTATTTCCGTTCCACTGACATAGCTCAGTGTTCTTGTACTTTTCAGTGTTGTTATGTGTATTCATAATATGTTCCCAGTGAAGTGTGTCTGCTGACAAGTTTAAATTGAGCAACAAGCTGTACTGATATATATATCTGTGTGCTGTTGGTTCCAGCCCTATTGGTTGTTTCGTATGGGTTTAGCATTCCTTTCTAAGGCTGTAAGGTATTTCTGAAGTAGGAGAGCCTCTGAATTTAGGGTCCATCTTCATTAAAATCAAGCTGTAAGGATGGGAAGCCTCAATAAGCTGTCCAAACTACCCACAATTTAGAATGTTTCCTCTTGGATTTGCAGCAGGGCTGATCTGCGTTATAATCCAGCATGATGCCGACCGAACTAACATCCCAGCTGCAGTAGAAATGTGACTGAATTTTCATTAAATTCTATATATTTCTGTCCAGGGCACGAGAAAGCACCTCCTCCCCCTCTTCTATCCCCAATTCAAGCCAGTGCGAACAATGACAATCATGAAGCCACTCTCCAACCACCCCCTCTTCTGGCTCCAGAGGTCCCAAGTTGCACCGATCAGACAGAAAGCGCTGTCCAAGCACCCATGGGTGGAGTACCTTACAGCACCGTCATGGATGAGAGCATTGAAGTTTTGGCTGAGATGAAGGAGGATGTCAGCTCAGCAAAGAACATTGGCCGGAGGCAGGCAAGAAAGAAAGCGATTGTCATTGAGTCAGATGAGGAAGATGAAGGTGAGACTCAAAAGGAAAACAAAGGTGATATTAAGCTGCCTTTATACATATGTATGTAATGATGGTTTAAGTTATAAAAGCATAGTTCAACTCTGTTCTCAAAGTCACACTTCTTCTTGTACTTTTTCATCTCTAAACAGCCGTCCCAGTCTCTACTGCGAAGACTGCTGTTCGCCACAGATCCCCTAATTTCCTGTTGAGTTTTCGGTGTCTTTGCCTAGAGTTGGGCCAATATTTCCTTCTAAGTGCCTCGAGTATTGCGACAGATTTGTAGTTGATAGTTTCCTCTTTGATTTCTGGTTCCGCACTGACACTGCTCTGACTGTGAGCTTCTGATCATGAACTTGGTGTACTGGTGGTGTTTCAGTTTGTCAAAGTCATACAAATGCCTGGTTTTTCAGGGGTCTAGAGAAACTGTGTAATCCGTCAAACTGTAAAATTATCTGTAATCTAATGTTTTATATGACACCTCAGGCTTACATAAATCCTGATTGACAAGAAATGTGAATATCAATTTTTGTCTCTGTTGCCGGTTTTTGTCTGTTTGAGATGTTTGAAAACATGCGTTGATCTGTTTTCCTTTTCAGAGGAGAGTGATTTTCACCCTGAAGGTGATGATAGTGAAGGTGATGAAGATGGGGAGGAAGAAGCCCCTTCAGAATCAGATGATGGTGAGAGTGACGACAGTGACTTTGCACCAAAGTCCAAGTCAAAGAAAAAACCACCTGTGAAAAAGTCAAAGCAAGCGCCTTCACGACTGAGCAAACAAACGACTGGCGGTAAACTGAACAACATCACAAACACCCAGGCTAAAGCAACAGCCCGACCCACTGCAGGTAATTTATTAAGGCATTGCCAGATATTGTGAGCCCTTTTCACATTTTGGCTAGGAAATGAAAGTCTTGGCCAATGACATGGAAGAACCTTTTCAATCTGCTTATAAAAGGCACCACAGTACGGAAACCGCTCTTTTAAAGGTATCATCAGATGTTTTAAATGAAATCGATAATAAAAAAGTCTGTGTTTTGGTTCTGCTTGATTTGTCAGCGGCGTTCGATACCATCGACCACAAAATTTTACTAGAGAGATTGGAAAAGTCATTTTTACTATCAGGTACTGTTCTAATGTGGTTTAAATCATATCTAGACAATAGTTTTATGTCAGTGAAAATTGGCAAGGATGTGTCAGATAGGTTACCTCTAAAGTACGGAGTTCCTCAGGGTTCGGTCCTTGGTCCTGTCATCTTTACAATGTACACGCAAAGTCTGTCATCAATAATTTCTTTACATGCCCTCAATTACCATCTTTATGCAGACGATACACAGCTGTATGGATTCACTACAACTGACAATGTACACAATCTCATAGATAAAATCGCCAGATGTATCAATGATATAAGAAAATGGATGTTCAAGAACAAATTAAAATTAAATGAGGATAAGACCGAAATATTATTTCTTCGTAGCAGCGCATGCAATGAAATCGACAATATCAGAATAAACATCAATGGCTACGAAATATCAGCCCAAACTAAAATAAGAAATTTAGGTGTGGTGCTAGATCAAGATATGTCAATGAAATACCATGTATCCAATCTTTGTAAAAATCTATATCTCCAGCTGAAGAAAATAGGGAGCATTAGAAAATATCTATCTATTGATGTCACCAAAACTTTAATAACATCACTTATATTGTCAAGGATTGATTATTGCAATTCCTTACTGGCTGATGTACCTGATGAACTGTTACAACAACTACAAAGAGTACAAAATATTGCTGCCAAAATAATTACTAAAAAACTAAAGCATGATCATGTGACTCCTATTTTAAAAGCATTACACTGGCTCCCAGTGAAAGAGCGTATCATATATAAAATCTGTTTAACTTGCTACAAGTGCTTAAATGATTTATCACCGGACTATCTAAAACAGCTTTTAACACCCTATGTGCCTCCTAGAACGCTCAGATCATCAAGTGACAAAACAACCCTTGTTAAGCCTAAAATAAATTACAAATCATATGGCCAACGCTCTTTTTCATATTTAGCCCCACTTGTTTGGAATAGGCTTCCAAAAACTATCAGAGAAGCAGAAAATCTAGAAATTTTTAAGAAGAAACTAAAATCATTTCTATTTTCATCATATTTCGATTAGACAGAATGCATCCAAGCTGTAGATCGTTGTGAGTTTGTATGTGCGTATGTGCATATGTACGTATGTGTGTATGTATGTGTGTGTGGTGCGTGTGTGAGTGAATATGTGTTTGCATGAGTATGTAACACTATGTACCTTTAAAATTGATTTGTAAATCCATAAAATGTATCATGTTAAGCGCATAAAGCATTGCATAAGTGGATATGCGCTATATAAATGCAATCCATTATTATTATTTTGTTCTAATGAACAGTCATGCTTTCTGGATTTTCAAGCCTTTTTTTTTTTTACCGTTCTGTTCATAGTTTACACCCCAGAACTCTTTCATTTTTCTGGAAGTGCTCCTTTTCTCTCTTTTCTCTTGGTGCTTATGGATGCTAGAAAATGAAACTAGTAGATAGGCTATAGAAGTACGGTCTGCCTAACATATTTTGTTTTGTGGAAATCAACAGCTTTACTTCATTTATCAACAGTGTGGTCCATTTGCTTGTTGTTTTGGGAGACACATGATGATATTTGTGGGTGGTTGGCAGATGCTCTGGTGTGGTTTGCTCCTTCTTTCCTATCAAACATCTATCGTACTGATCTCTCCTCCTTTTTTGTCTTTTACTCTCTTGTAACACCTCTAATCTTCAGCACTTATATGACCTTATTGTGTTTCAAGTGCCTTTAAACTAAAAAAACATGATGATATTTAATTAGGCTAAGTCGTAGATGTTATTGAGAAAGTCCTTAAAACTTGCTAGTGTTTTTGCCCAATTAGTCTCACATTTGTGTATTGTAGATTGTTTCAAGGAATTTGAATGTCTTTAATATTTGGCAAAGAATGTCTTCTTCCCTTTCTTTTTTCTTGAATAATTTCTCTGCTGTCTGAAAGGTTTTCTTGTGGTGTATTTGAGATACTGGCTGTTTCCGTTTCTTTTCAATGTGGTTTTTAGTTTTTAATTACAAATATAATATTTGCAGAAAAATATGGGTGCAGTGTATCGAGTAGTGCATTAGTGGTAAAGTTTTTGATCTTGTGTTCCTCTACTCGAGTCAATAATAAGGTATGCAACCCTCTGTCCTGTTCTTCTTAAAACTGCCATATCAGGATCTTTATCTTTGATATCAGTGTTGTTGGTTTTCACAAGTGTCCGATTTTAGACAGAAGGATAGATTTTCATAGACATGAGATTAGGCTTTTTAAGTTCTGTGAAATTGTGTACTATTGCTGTCTTTCACTTTCACTATCTTGATTTATGTTTCCATCAGCTCTTGTAGACTGTTTCAGTGGGTGGTTGGTGGGTGCTCTGGTGTGGTTTGCTCCTTTCCTGTCAAACAGCTATTATCATTTTATTTCTCCTCTTTCTTTTCTTTGTATGTTTCTTTCTATTTACACTTCTAATCCTTGGCACTTAAATTACCTATTTGTGTTGCAAGTAATGTAAAACTAAAAAACTCTTACCATAAAAAAGACTTTCAGGTCAGGCTAAACAATTCCTATTTTTTTTACTGTTTTATTTCTTATCAGATAAAGTCCCAGTAAAATCTTCCACACCGGCAAAGAACACCACAGCCTCCAGTACTCCAAAGCCTGCAGTTGTCAGCCGCACATCAAAGTCGAAGAACCCCTTATCCGCAGTAACAGTGACAGCGACAAAGTCGAGTATGCCACCTGTCAAGTCATCTTTGTCATCGCCTTCGCCCACATCTGCGCCCTCGGCAGGAAGTTGTGGAGTACCTTCTGGTGGCATGTCTGCTCAGTGGAAACCACCAGGTGATGAGGGTGGTGGCAGGGGGCAGAGGCTTTAGCGTTTTGATTTCAATTTCTTTTATTTATGATTTTAAATGGTTGATTCCAGCTGGTAGCAACAACGAACAGCAGTTGAGGAATGACAAGTCAATTTCAGTGTGGACCAAAGAGACCTGAACCTATTTGTCCTTTGCTGTGTGGTTTGTTTATATGTGTGTAGGCTCAGGTTCTTGTCAATTCATTCTTGCTTCGTTGGAGTTTTCTTGGGTTCCTATTTATGGTCCTGCCTCCTGAAAATAATTCAGCTTAGATGGGTGGGACTCTTGGTTTGACAGCCAAACACAATACTCCTCAAAGCTAATTCTACTTACAATTGTTATTTAGAAGGCTGAACATTGGTGCTCTGTGTTAATTCTGCTGAATAAGACATGGGAAATATTTAGGCAGCTAGAAAAGCAAGCAAATCGAGACAGTCATATTTTGATCCTGATATTGACACTAGCCCGACAGATCACAAGTTCTCTGTGAAAAAATTCTTTAAAATAAGAATAACTTTTGAATGTCACAAGAAAACCATTAAAAGGTTTGATCAACTAACCACATGTTAAGGGAGACAAGCACACAGCTTCAGGAAAAGGAAAGGCACTGCTATCTGCGACGAGCTGTGGCATTTATGTTAATTACAAGTTGCATGCTATTATTTCTATAGCTTTTCTTTCTCCTTTGATGTGAAAGGTCATCATCATTTTATGATTCACGAACTATCAGGGCAGCGCTACTGACTGAAGTTGTCTTTAGGCCTTTCCCAAAGGGGGGATATGAACATGATCTTATGCACAGTAGAATAGTAAATGGGCTGATTTATCAATGTCATGCTCATACTGTGCCGGAACAACATAGGGGGAACTGCTGTTTTTTCTTTCCTCATCCTTACTATCGTCATTTTCCTCTACTTCTTTTGCATGTTTGTCACTCTCTTGTGGACTGCTATTTCCGGGGTGACTTGATAGTGGAAGCAGACTTTTTTACTGTTGAAGCTAGAGAAGTGAGCAGAGTAAGCCTGATTCCCTGTTTGGACTTCTCTGTTGACGTCCATCCCTTGGCGCTCATATGGCCTTATGCAGTTGCAAGCGCAGTAAATCCTTTCTAAAACAAAGTCTTGGATTTCCTTCGCACACCCCCCTCCCATCCCCCAAAGGCTTGCAAGAGTTCACAATAACTCCCTTGGTATGCCAACAAGCCATTTTAAGTTCCTTGAAAAATATACAAATAACGCAGCACTGCAGCCTGTTCAGTGCATACATAGATCACTTTCATTCACATACTCTGCACTTCTCCTTTTGTTGACTTTAGGTTTAATGACCATGTTCATTTTTTACTTAGAATCTTTACAATAATATTCATCATTTTTCATAATGTCAGCTGCTGCCTATCTATCTTCTCCCTTCATTGTTTTCTCACTAAAAAAGATACCACCTCATACTTTTAAAATGTATTTCAGCCCATGTCAGCAGCGGAGGTGGCGCCACCAGTGTCTCTATGGTCAAGTCTCCAACTTCCGGCCTCCGACTTGGACTCTCCAGGAACCAAAGAGTTAAACCCCTTCATTCTTCAGTCAAAGTCACATGACTTAGTTGAATTGGTCGTCTGATTATTGTGTTGATGTTTATTTTACAGATATGTCTACAATTTTTATTTCTCTCCCTTCTGGGAATTTGAGATTTGAGTGTGAGATCTATATAGGCTATCTTTAGATAGTCAACGGATGAGGTATAAACTCACACTTATGAATTCTTGCAAGCCCTTTGAAGTAAGAGACTTCGATGAAGTTGGTATGGTGATGTTATGCTCTTCGTTAATTCTGTTGAACAAGATATGAGAAATATTTTGATTATAAGTTGTTCCGTTTACATTCATTGTCCACTTGGCTTATTTGTAATGTTGAGATGTGTGATGACTAATCCTGAGTGCCCATTGGTAGGATCGGATCACATTGGGCAGGTTGATTAACAGCAACTTCACCGCACACTACGAATGGACCCATGTCCTGCTTCATCAAATTTGGCACGAAGTTAAAGCAGAGAAAACTTTGACCACTGGCAACCGAAATACTTGGTGCAGAGATCATATCCCATGCTGCATGGTGATGTTGTACATGAAACTTACTTGTTCACAATACAGCCATTTGCTTGAACTTGAATCTTGGCTTCAAGTGCCGATTGCCACATAAATAGGTTGTTGTGTTTAGAGGTTTATGAATCCTTCAGAGATGAGAAATTTCAATAGCATTCTATTAGCCTCTCCAAGTCAGCATCTTTCATTATCTGACCTTGATCTCACCCTAATCATCTGACTTATAGGTTAGAAGCCCTGTGATTGGCTGTCCTCACCTGATGGATATGACCTCTACGACTCGTGATCTGAATAAACAAACACATTTGATTTTACAGGATTCAATCGAATTGTGCCAAAACTAGCTTTTGCCCCTCCATGAAGGAAAATCTGGCTGGCCCTAACAGCATCAAATGAATGAAATGTATCAAATGGGTGATGTACAATGGGTATAATAGGAGCATTTTACAAGTTCAACACTTCTTAATGTGGACAGTGATGTTGATAGTCGGGTGTGTACAGATTGACATGTTCATTTAAGTGTTGAAAGGCTACATGTTTTGTTGTTAGGATTTATTTACACTGGAAAACATGTTCATTTTGGTGCCACTGAGTTTTAAAACAAAGATGCACGGTAGATAGTGTGTGAAAGATTTCCCCAACGCTCAGAAGTCTAGAGGGTGTTGAGTCTCTGTGGGGGCCTGATGTTTCTCTCACCTCCTGAAATATTTTCTCTCTACCAGTCCGACTATTGAAAACAAAGCGCCTGCCGATAAAACTTGTGTAAATGGAGAATTAAATAGCTAAGAAAAGCCGTTGAAGAGCTGCTTGTTCTATACTAAAGATCATATATCTTGACTAACTGTATGCATCCAAAATCTGACATTGGTAGGACTTCTTATGAGTTTTGTTTAAGGGTCTCTTTCTCCCTTATTCTGTGGGGTTTCTTGTATGCTTATGATGTGCAGTTAATTTTGTTTTATTATGGAGGCTCTGGTGTGGTTTACTTCTTCTTTCTTATCTAACATCTATCATCTTCATCTTTCTCCTTTTCTTTGTACATTACTCTCTAGGAACACCCCTAATCTTTAGCTCATACTTATGTATGACTTATTTGTGTTGCAAGTGCCGTATAAAAGTCTAATTGGAACTAAAATTAGATCTTTTGCTCTCGTAATAGGACACATTGCCCATTTGGGAGTAAGGAAGAGTGCTTATGACTGCGTAGTCTAGTTATTCCAGTGATGAAAATCATTGTTCTAGAGAAATTAGCTATACAGGAATTATTAGATTTTCGTCATTTTGATTGCATTCGAAATAACCTAAGTCCAATCTATGACCCCTGTGATGTCATTGTGACCAGGAAGTTCTGTGCACTGTGTTGCCCCATTTAGCAGAAGCTAGCCGGAGAGGCGTTATAAACCTTTTACTGACAGTCCTCTGTGGTACTTGTTAGATCTTGATTTTCTCAGCATTGTTCGAAATATCAGTGAACATGATACATTGTAGCCTACCAGGACCAATTAACAATGTGATTTTTTTTCTTAGAATGATTGATTTGTAGTTTTAAACTGTACATAATTTTAAACGACTATTGTTTATCAGTTTATGTTATAATAAAAATGTTTCATACCAACCTCAAGCTGTTTTCAGGAGTTTACTTATTTTGGTATATATACTTGTCATAGCATGATGGAACAAAGCGCTTTTAAATTTTTTAGCATATTATGTAGTTATTGGTATAATCTTAAAGCTTGTTAATTTGTCTTGCTTTTGATGAATTGAAAAAAAAAAACCAACTTGATGAATAGAAGATGAATTCATTTGCAATGGATGGAGGTGGTTGTTACCTGGTATTGGAGGTAAGATTAGCCAGAAAATGGCTGCCAAAGTTTGGTGATTTCCAAAGCTTTAGTGTCCTTAGAAACTGCAAATTAGCCGTTTATCAATGTTTTTTAAAAGTAAAATCCACACAAAAATGTTTTAAATGGACATAAAAGTGTTGGATCCTTGCCTATCAAACAGCGATCATCCTAACTACTACTCCTTTTCTTTGTATTTTATGTTACTCTCAAGTAACATCTCTTAACTTCTGCACTTATATGACCTATTTGTGCTGCAAGTGCTGTAAAGCTGTTACAAAAACTAAACTAAAATTGCACTGTGGTGATATGTTTTTATTTGATTTAATAGGGAATACACACAAGAATCAAACTAATGTCTTCTGCATGAGATGACGTAGCGTTTACCTGCTACACAACAGCTGTTGGTTTCAAAATCCCTCACAGAATGTTCTTAAATTTGAGTTGTATGGAGATCTCTCAAGGTTTTCCCCACACACTTGGACTTTGACTTTCGACTTCACTAACCTTAAAGTTGAAAGAGGTAGTCTTCTTTTTCTTTGCATTTCCCTGCCAGATTTCGGGCGTTGTCAACAGTCAGCTGCTGGATTTTCAACCTGAAGGGCAAGAAAACAATGTGACTGTTTTTCCTTCTTCGTCGAGCCCCTTGCCTTCAGTCACTGACATTCCAATTTCCAAGGTACTCTGTATTTTTTTTATACTGACTGGAGCGTTTTCAGTTTAGTTAGAATTAATTTTGAAATTTGCTCAGGTGGTGGCCAATGACTATTCTTATTGATTTCAGGAACTCCAAGGGATCTTTAATGTGTGCCACTTGCACATAGGACCTCGAAGTCCCAAGATTTTTAGCTTTTATCCGAGAAGGTTAGGTGTTAAATCTTACCTACCCTGAGATCAGAGGTGCAGCTGACGAAAAACAGTAAGGGGCCAGAGCCAGGAATAGCAGTAGAAAGAGTCAGGAATAACAAGATGGGGGTGAGGGGAAGAGAGTGGTGACGGTGACGCAAGCAGATGACAGAACTAAAGTAGAACAGGAAGGGAAAAAGAGAACATTTTAGAGAAGGCAACTTTTGTCGCTGACAGGATTCATCAATCCCTGAACCTTTTGACTGAGAGGCGTACACCATACCTCAATACCAATAGAGCCCCCAAAATGGGTAGTAAATACATTTATTGTATGATATTCATAGATACATGTATGTGTACTACACCAGGAGAATGAAGAGGAAGAATTTTCATATTGTATCGCCTTGAAGTTAAAGCTGTTTGTAAGAATAAAGAGCAATTTGGTGGACACCCATTATCATAGCGGCCAACTTTCCAGGAAGCAAAAACAGAACACCCAACGCGTGCCGCTACTTCATAAATAATCGTACACTGTTAGGATCAGCGATAGTGCCCCCTCCATTTTTTAATAAACACTAACTGCATTGTACTGCTTATCTTTTACACTTAATTTCACAGCTTATTATTAATGCCTCTCAGTCAGTCCAGTGAAGCAGTTTATTGAGGCTTTACTGCTACTTTTGTAGCAGCTTTAGCCCTCTTGAGGAACTCTGGTGAAAACTTTTTCTCAAAACAAAAGGTGAAGTCAGAATTTAAGATCAGGAATCCAGCTAGCATGTCTGTGCTAAGGGATCCCCTGAAATCAGTTTTGTTTTTTCTCACTTGGCTAAATACACACTCACACTCACACTCACACTCACAATTTGAGTGAGGAGTACAAGCATGAAATAACCAAGCCTTTATGAAGAAATAAAAGGAAACTCCTCAGAATATTTTGCCGAAGACGTCGCTCTTTGCAATTAGATTTAGCTTGCTTGAGCTCCATGATTTTGAATCTAATAGTATATTAGAATCATAGATCTAGATCTAGCAAACAGCATGCGATGGTCTTCGCATTTAAAAATAAAATAAAATCAGAATCAACAGCTCTGTCTATCTGCCAATAGGCTAATGCAAACTTCCGTTGACCTACGACCCAGATGGAGAATACAACAACAAAAATCCCATACACCTCAGCCTAGACCTATTGCCACGCGAGGCATCGGCTGGGATTGTTAAAGAATCCATTAACAACCTGTCGCTTGATACCAAGTACCGGTAATGAGTACATCGATTCTTACCGCCAAGCAAATTGTTTATTGTTAAGATACACGGTTCAGCGGGGTGGGGTTTTAAAAGGCCAACAATTTTTTTTCCCGTGAGGTGAAAACAGTTACAATTTCATCGCAGTGGTTGGCCGCTATGTATTATCAGTAAGCAAAATACAGTACCCCTTACAGTACAAGGGTACAGTGCTGTATTTCACATTACTAAAAAAAACCATCCCTAATCCCAGTTAAAAACTTGATCATTCAAACAAGAAGAAACAAATGCACACACACAGAAGTGTATTGACATATCATCTCAATTGTATTTCATTATTGACATTCATATTTCATTATATCACATTTTGGATTTCCTTCTTATGTGCAACATAATACAATCTGTGGAAAAAGTTATGAGTTTGCCCATCGCGCAGGCATCATGATAATGACAAATATAACATGAAAAATATGAGTCAGTTTTTCTTGACTTGTAATGAGTATGAGAATGACCAAATGAAATTGTGAGCACATGCAGGAAGACTTAAATATGACTTCAATTCAATAACATTGTACTTTTTCACTAGCACACTTGATTATAATGTAAACATACCATTGGCATTATATTACATATCGTGTACAAGTGCATCTTAGCAAGAACATATGTGATGAAAAAATATAAAAAGTCACGAGAATTTCAGAGTAAATGCGGTTCAAGAACAGTTACTGGCCTTGTCTACTCACATTGTTTCACGTACAGTGGGAATTTCCATGAGTATGAGAGTCATGAGATTGCGCATCACAGTACTAGTACTATTCACAGAGAACGGATCTGGAGCAGAAAGTATCCTACTCCTGCTGTCTATGTACAAACTGAACAAAAACACTTTCAGAAGTAAAGAAGTGTGGAGTAACTAACAGCAGAGTAACACTTTGAACTAAAGAATGTGGGGTATCATCGTGGTTAGATTTAAGTCTCTGCCAACAAAAAAAGTATTGTGACTGACCTTGTGCAGAGTCAAATACTCAGTACTTTGAGCATTTAAAAAAAAAAAGTTGTTGCAGTCTAAATATATATAAACATATTTCACAGAAAGTGTCTGCACTAAAAGTCCTCAAATTAGAATTATGACACTTTCCCCCAAAAAAGCAAAATCCCCCCCCCCCCCCCCCCCCAACAAACTGTTTGTATTTTTCACCTTCAGACAATAAATTGTACTTTTACCCCATTTAATTCATATCATGTTATTTTTACAAACTTTAAATCAGACACCTCCAAAAGAACTATTACATACATGTCTATATAGATGACAACATATGAAGGGCTAACATGACATATAAAAATACACAAATTACAAATCTTGACACTAAATACAGCAAAAAGGATGCCATTTAATTAAAGGTGAGATTACTGACTGATCAGATCACCTGAACAAATTTCAGTTAATTAATGAAAAAAACCCAACACAGTTTCAGAGAAGACAAAAAGAATTTCCATCTTAGTGCACTTAAAAACCTGAAGCAGGCAGTGTCCCTAGACCTTCTAACTGTCAACCATTGCTCCACAATTATCAAATATCAGTACTGATAAAAGACTGCATCCCTACTGAAAAGAAGTCTCTGTGTGCTTTACAATACACTGTACCCGTACAGTTGCAGATTGTAATCAGTAGGCCTACATGTTCAGCTTCCTAGGAAGAAATTATGGGCAAAGAGAATCATTGAACAATAAAACATTGCACCCCTATTGCTGGCACAAGAATCATCAGACAGTAGGAGCAATGAGGAACATAGGCCTACATCTTCTATTGTTATCACAACATACGTCTTCTACTGTTATCACAACATACATCTTCTACTGTTATCACAACATACATCTTCTACTGTTATCACAACATACATCTTCTACTGTTATCACAATGGCAGGAAGTTGAGAAAATATATGAAAATAGTATTTAAAAAAAAGACATTAAAAACTGGGCAAGAACTATACATGTGACCATACCACTGTCAAATACAACTTGGTTTACCTCATCTCTCTCCATTCTTTGCACTGATATTTCCTTAGAAAGAGACCCTCAGAAGGAACAAAATGACGATCCAAAATGCAACATATTTGGCATAAGTTCAACTATTACTATTACATCTCCCCTCGACATCTTGCTGTTCAAGTTCAAGAGGATAGTAAATGTAAACTTAAAGTAAAGTACAGTAAATCTCCTTGGCGTCTTTGCCTTCTTTGCTATAAGAAAGTTCCCTCAAATCATTACATAAAAGGGACAAAAGTAAAAGGCAGGGGTACAAACGTGTTCACAATTTCGTTTCATCATAAATCCAGGGCAAATTTATCTTTAAAAAATTCTTTTGGGGGGACAGTGTTCTGTCATCAATGCAGCAAGCCTATCATTTTAAAAAGAAGTAGCACTGAATAAAAACACAAACATTTCCAAGACTGTGTTTATATCATACCTCTGTGTAGTTACCCACCACTTCTTACTTAAAGAAAAAGAAAAAACAAACAATTGTTAGTCTGAAAACTGGTATGACGTGAACATCATGTATCGTCTTTTGCGATCAACTCAGTACTCAGACATTCAGAAAGAGTTGGGCACAATAGTGTTCAAATCTTTCTGTGACACTTCCACTTTCTCTCCCTCTGTAGCCTTTGAGATCCAAGCACCAAACTGACGAGTGCGGGAGAGGAGGCCAAGCCTGGGGGCAGGGGGTGTCATGGCGGCAGCAGACGGCTCCTCTATCAACGGCGTTTCTCGGAGAGACCTCCCGCTGGGCGAGTATTGCGTGACAGACGAGGAGGAGGAAGAGGAAGTGACGTCAGGAGAACTAGAGCTGCAGGTGGTGGGGACGAGGGCAAGGCTAGCCTGGTCGACGGCACTCTCTGTGGGTAGTGCCGAGGCAGGGAGTATTGTGTCCATCGAGCCTCGGCGACGCAGGTAGCGGGAGATGAGACCCCCACCGCTGTTGTTGCTACCTCCCATACCCGCAGACTGAGCCATACCCTGGAGGTTAGGGCTTGAACTGCCACGGGTGAGAGATGAACGGGGCATCACCGATACGCGGCTCGTCAGCTCACCAGCCTCCGGAATACTCGTCTCTTGCAGTTGGGCTGAGCTTTTCTCGTAGAGATTTATGTGTCCTGAGCCCCGTCGCAGCAAGCGCCCAGTGGAGAGAGTCACAGTCTGTGAGAACCGGCTCAGGAGCTGGTTACTGACCTCAGCCACGTCCCCCTCCTCGTCTGCCTGTGGCTTGGAGTACCTGCGGGACAAGTGGTGGGCAGCGGGGGCCATCTGGTCCTCCGACGACAACGACGGGGCGCTGTGTGCTGATGCTACTGGCATAACCTGGGGGCCAGGGGAGGCCTGGGACGATCCGAGAGGCTGTACTGCCAGGCGGGACGTTTCTGGAACGCTCACACGCATCTTCCGAGCTGAAGTTAGAAGAAACAAATTCATCAGTCAGTAAGCAAACTATACCGTGTAATTTTTGGAGACCACAAAGTGACAGAAAAATGATAGGCAAACAAAATTGAAAGAAGAAGAATTTTCTGAAATAAGAAGGAAGGGTGAGAAATGAGAAACACTTGTCTACTTGGCTTGAGCTGAACTTTAAGGCCTAAGGTCAGTCAGCCTGACTGAGGCCACATTTCTTCTGGAATATATTACATGTAGTAAAACATAAGAAACAGAAGTACTGAAAAGAAGAAGACAGGAGAAGATCAAACAGGATCAAACCAGCCCGTGCTGGAGAGATGATGGGTGACAACAGAAAGTAAATTACCTCATAGCACAAAGGGCACGGCTCAGCCAAAGTGCATGTCTGAATCGATTAATCTGACCATTCAACAATCATGTAATAATCTGGAACCAAATGTGAACCAAAAATAGCAAAGTAATAAATAAACATATATAATCTTTTTTTCAACCGACAATTTTGGGTGAGAAAGAC